AGGATCAAAATGTACAATAGATCATGTGAAATAGGAAGAAAAGGTCCAAAGGGGAAGGGGAAGGGGAGGTAAGAGAGGTAGGTAGGGGAAAGGGAAGAAGAGAAAGGAAAAAATATAAGAAAAGGAAAAAATGGAAATAAAGTCTTTGTAAATAGGGAGGGATGGAGAGATTGAAGGGAGGGCAGGGAAATGGGGAAAAAAATAAGAACCAAGAGAGATCATATAAAAGTTCAAATTTCCAATGATGAATGTCATCATCTTGTATACCTAAAATGTACCAATAAACTTAATGAATTTTTTAAAAAAAACTGAAACAACTAACAATTTCTGTAGACCCAGGTCTGGGAGTAGAGTGAGGGGCCAGAACCCTGGCCTGCATGGTTGTGCAGGTCAATGAGCCTTGTTGTGGCTGAGTGCACAATTTAAAAGAGATATCTCTGTCTCGCTAATACCCTGTAAATAAATATACCACTCAAGTTTTAATCAAACAAAATGTCCTGTCTGATGGATCTTTTTATCTATAAGAAAAACAACTTCAAAGAAAGAGAAGTCTAGCTTCCAAAATTGCCATTTTAAACATATTTGTGACAAGAGGTGAATCATTTGATTATCTATGTACACATTATGCTGCTACAGAAGAAAAATATTTCAAACAGTACTGTTTTGGCATATTACTCTCAAATCTAATTGACAAATAACATCCCCTAAAAGTAAGGAGTTGGAGAATGCATCATTGTATTTTTTAATTGATTACTTTTATGGAAAAACAATTATATAGTGTCTTCCAAGGTTGATATGAGTGTACCTGCCAAGACCACAGACAAATCTGGGTAAACAGTATATATTTACAGACCTAGGGATTTGATATTGTGGCAACAAACTTTATTACAAGTAATTTTGAGGAACTGTTAACCATGTTAACTTTTAGAATAACGTGGAGTATGATACCTTTGTGTTAATTAGGAATTTTGCCTATTGCAGTCCACATTCCATGTGATAAATTGGTAGATATAACACATCACATTTCCTTTTTTCATTCTTTCCCTTCACCCACCCCCATTTCTTATTCCTCTTTTGATTTAAGCAAGCTCTATCTCCCTACTTCCTATTATCTATTTTTTATTTTGCTCTTCATCACATGGGTTTGTCATGTAAGAGAAACCACCAAAAAATAAGTATATGTTCTATAATGAAAGTAGATGCCTATTGTAAAATCTTCGAAAATGCATAACATAAAAAATGGTTGTCTAGTAGAAATATTTTTACATGTTTTCAGTGTTTTCTGTAAATGTGCATTTTTTTTTTTTTTTTTGGTACCACGTATCGAACTTGGTACCTTGCTCTTGCGACGCAGGAGGCAGCACCACTGAGCTAAATCCCCGGCCCTGTCAATATGCATTTTTGATAATTAAGAACAGATTACCTATTATAAACTTGAGTCTTATTTGTCTGTACTTAATATTATGTTACTTAAAATTCATTTTGTTTCATGGGTCAATAAACCCAATTCAAACTGGCTGTAGCAAATCCAGGAAATTATTGAGTATGGAACTTAAAAATCTAGAGGCAAAAATGGATTTACACAGGATTCAGAGGTTCATCTTGGCTCTGGTTCCATTAATCTGCATTTTTCTCAGATTTTCTGTTCTTAGTTGGTGTGATGGATTAACTAATGGTCAAGCTGGAATGCCCAGCTGAAATTAATCACCATGGTTGGGCATGGAAGACTCACCTGAGGATTGCTGCCAATGACATAAAAAGAGAACTAGAGGGTATGATCATGGGCTATTGATTTCCTAGGAGAGGCTTGCTGCAGCTGGTTTTCCTGATGTGAACTTGGCTGTTCTTGTTGGAGGAGGAGGAGCTTGGGTCCTTACTATCATTGGGAATGGCTGCTGTTCTCCTCGGGGGAGCTCTGATCTTCACCGTGAGCATCACTTCCTGGCTCCAAGTAGATCCCTCACAAATCCTTCACCATACTGGTGCAGGATTTTTGACTTCTGCCACTGGCTTTTGGGATGTTCAGGTGCAGAACCTCAACATGGACAAGCATGAGACATTGCTGTGGGCTCTAGGCCACTGGCTGGACTCTTGGAGGATATTGTCTTGAACTTTAGGCCCTCAGCTGGACTTGTGCAGGACATTGCTGTGGGATCCAGGCCCTTGGCTGGATTGTTTGGGTCTAATCATGCATATTTGGAGTGAGTCTCTTGCACTCCTTTGCATTTGACTTTTTGGGTGACTATTATAAAATAATCCTATGAATTATGTGACCTGTATTAAATTTATTCCTTTGCAAGCCCTGACCACAACAGTTGGTTTCCTTTCATGTTAGCTTACCACCACAATATCCTTTAATATCAATTCCAGGCCTACACCCTCTTTTATCCAAAGAGAAAGTTTCTCTTGAAAAGCTCTTAAGGAAAAAATCTTTGTTCCATCACTTATTGCAGAGGCCCTGAGGTACACTCCAAATGTGCATGATTAGATGCACATTTCTAAAACAATCAAATGTTTTGTGGCATTGACTTTTAGTCTTTTGGCATGGGTTATTACTTATAATGATAATTCCACATTATAGTTTTTAAATATGCTATGACAAGGACAGAATAATAAAACTAGTATCTGTGTGGGTGTATTAGCTTGAAACAGGATTACATCTACAGATTGCCTTCATGATATTACTGGATAATATTCAGCACAAATCAAAGAAGCACAGTACTTTATTGCTATATTGTAGACATCGGAGACCATAGGAAAAGAGCTTTTTAAAACGTTTGTGCGATGTCAAGTTGACCACAAGTTGATCGATTTTTAAATTCTAATTCATTCTACCAGAAGTCTTTGTGTCATATATAGCATGTTTTGTATATATACATCTGTATTTATATGTAATATATGTATTTCCCAACCCTCAGTCTCCAGAATCACTACAGAATCAAATAAAAATGTAACATATATCTTTATTTATCCTCCATTCTTTATTGACCAACACACACACACACACGCACACACATACACACACTGTTCTTAGGCACAGTACCACCACTACTGAGAAGTTAGTTCAATTCAGAAGTTATACAGTTTTCTCTGACATTATGTCATGTCTTCTGTTACCCTCATTTGTGGATATAGTCAATCTTAAATCTTTGCTTACAATAATTGGAGAGGTATTCTACTATTTGGAAAAGTTCTAAAGGCAGAGCCTAAGTCATATTGTCAGGTAGTGTTTATGTCCTTTTGATTTTTTTTATTGGTACATATTTTCAAGTGTTTATCACTATCTCAAAACATTTTTACACATGCTTAATCCCCATCCACTTGGGCTGAGAGTATAATTTATCTTCTGTTCTTTCAGTATTCTTTCAATCTAAAAGTCATCACACAGATTAGGAAGTAAAAATTTAAGTACGTGCATGCACAAAAATATTGAGAAGACAAATACCAATTTTGAAACATAACAAAGAATTGATATTGATGAACTACATTTTAGGAAAAATATATTTTTATGACCAATACAAATATATTACAAATATTTACTATAAATATTTCTGTAAGAATGAGAAGAGGGTGAGGTAATAACACATCAAGTCATAAAACGCATGTTTAACAAACTGAAAAGTAATTCTAATTTGAAAGGTCAATCTGTGTTGGAAAGTCACACCTTCACTTTTGTTTCATTACACTTAATTTCAGTCACCAGTAGAGGGAGTAAATAATTTAAGAATCAAATTAATTTTTATTTTTTTTATGTTATTTGAGGATCTGTCTATTTCTGAAACATGCCAGACTTTAAAAAGTCACCATATAACTTATACAAAATCAGTAACTATATACACTACTCATAAAACTATCAAATATAATTATAAATATAATTTATCAATCTTTTACTAGTAAATCAAAATCATAATCATATGTTATGAAACAAATATGAACCTGAATAAAACAAGATTTTTCTATTCTTGCTTCTTATATTTTTTTGTAATGGTGAGATGTGTGGCAAGTCATTCAATTTACCTGTGCCTCATTTTTTCCTTTATTTATTTATTTATTTATTTATTTATTTATTTATTTATTTTTTACCTGTGCCTCGTTTTTCAGTCTTGAGGACAGAAAAAATATTAGACACAGGATGTCGCAAAGCATCTCTAGGATTGCGATTAAACATGATGCCACTTGTAAGGTAATTACCACAATAAATCCTAGGGAATTTTACTTCATCAGCTTTTTCCATGTGTGTGTAATTCACCTTGTTTTCTTCCTACTTCTCCTTCTCTAGCTTGGGGAATGCGGGAAAGGTGATGTCACAGCTCCCTTGTGAATTTCCTGCCTTTAGTTGTGCTTCTGTATTAAAGGCTGTCTCTATTCTCTGTCATCCCCTTCAGCTGTCATTGGTATAACCTGGAACTCCAGAAGACAGTTCCCTAAAAACAATGTAGTATCTTCCCTTAAGACATTCTCTTCCATTCCATTTCTTCAGTAAGCCCAGCACCATTTCACAATACTGCTGGAGTCTAACAGATTTCCTAATGGATTTGGTTAACTGAAGGGATTTAAAGTATCAAAGAAAAAAAATTAAAGAAAAATGTCTATGAAAATATGACTTTTCTTAAATTCCAATATAAAAATACCCATGAAGTTTGTTTTTCTTCTCAAAAAAAATCTGCTATTTTGTTTTCTCTCTGGTATTGGGAAGTGAACAGGGCCTCATTTATGCTAAGCAAGCACCCAACCACTGAGCTATATGCCCACTCCTCATCTGCTGTTCTTGAACTTGCTTTCTTACACATAAGTTTGCATTTTATGGGAAAACTCACCCCCTCTAACTTCTTTTCCATTAGTTGGCACCATGAGGAAATGAAAACTCAAGCCTGCAGATTCTGGTCCTACTTCAGGTTCACCATTCCCATGGGATACATGCCCAGGACTAATTCACTGAGACTGGCCTGATAGCCTGGCCTGCTGAAAAGGCATCCAAGGTTTCTGACACTTCAAATTACAAAGAAAATTCTAGGTGGGAAAAAGCTAGTCCAGGTTTTTCAGCTTGGAAATCTTCCCTTTATTTGTATTACCAACAAATAGTTGTTGCAGCTCTTGTGAGCATGTGGACACACAACACACACACACACATGTATCCGAAGGGCAAAATATTTTATTCTTAGAGTTCATTTAATCTTATGGAAAAGTAAAATGCATTTGCCTAACTGCATTACTATTTCCAAGGTCACTTGTTTTTCCTTGGTATGTATTAGTAATTATACTTGGTATGTAATTAGTAATTCTATATGGAACAGTAGTGTAATCTTTTATTTGCATGGTCTAAACTGATTCTCAACTTATGCTCCCTATGCCTGTCTCAAATAAGACATAAGCCACAGGTGACCTGCTTATCTACTAATGATTGTTGCCAAAACCATACAAACATTTGACCAGAGTTTTGAGTATGTTCCTTGTTAAGTGTCTTAGAAAAGGGTCTGTCTTCTCCCTGGTGTGCTTGGGTTAAAATGGGTTATTTTATTTCCTACTACACATGTGAGCTAAAATAACTATATGGGTTTTCTGAAGGTCTGTGGTTCTGATAGTTTTGGAAGAAGGAGATGGTTTGTTGAAAGCTTGAGGTTTCCTCTGAATTTCAACTGTACTATATTTGATTACTCAAAAGGCAGGAGGATGAAGGAGAATCCTTTGGTTCTAGACTTGGAATGTAATTGTCAAGATCCAACCTGGAATAATTCAATAAACATAAATGAGAACACAAAGAAATTACTATATATTTAACATAAAAATGGCTGCTGAAGAGTCTGTGTAGGAGACAAGAGAGAAAAGAAACATGTTAAAGAAAAGAAACATGATTATAAATTAACTGATGGATACCAAAATTTACTGAGGTTTAGCTAGTGTTCTTATTGTTTTATTAGAGAACTCTTGTATTTTCTTGTATAAACCTGGTTTCAGTAGGAAGTAACATATAATCTAATGACCTACACAAAATATTTACGTACAGAAGGGTAGTCCTAAAATGTAGATGGACCTCAGTACTAATCACCAAAATCACCAAAGAGTTATTTTTATAACCTAATATTAAGAAAATACTGAAAAGTGCTCAACGTAAAACAGGAATGAAGAAGAATGAATGTACTGGAAACTTTAGAAAAGAACGTGAGGCCACTACTGAAATACCAAAATGATTAGTCCCCTGTAACACATGGTCCATCAGAATCTAGGTCACTTAACTAAAAATGGAAGAAAGGTTACAAAGTGAAAAAATTTGTGCTGGTAATTATTGAAAAAATACAAATTATCAGGTAGTCTCTATTAGTAATGTAATTTCAATTTATACGTTTAACTCACCTTTAGTAGCTTGAGAATTTCAGCCTTGAATTAATCATCTACTTCCTGTCCCTATGTGACTCTATGGAGTATTACTTTCAACAAAATTTAAGCAATATATTACCTCTGGCTTTTATATTCAGTTTCCTTTAATTTTTTTTTTTTTTGTACTAGGGATCGAACTCAGGACCTTGAGCTTGCGTGGCAGGCACCAGAACCATTGAGTTAAATCCACAGCCCAAAGAGTAAGTTTCTTTCTTTCTTTCTTTTTTTTTTGGTACTGGGGATCGAACTTGGGTCCTTGTGCTTACGAGGCAGGCAGTGGAACCACTGAGCTATTCAATTTCCTTTAAAAATGTAATATTTATATTGCGGGGTTATTTCTTACAGGTCACAAATCAATAAATTCAGTGACTGAATATAAAAATTATTGTGGTTATTTATAATAAATAAATCAAATATCAAAGTGTATTTTCATTTTATGTTCAAGAAACTTTTTTGTAGTTAGTATAATCAGCCTCATGAGTAAATATTAAGGAATACTAATACACATTTTCTTATTTGTTTATTTGCTCTCTGTTTTGTTTGTCCTGGTGTTGAAGGGTTAAAATACTAAGGTGTGAACTATAGTCACATTTCTTCAAAGTTCTGAAATCATTAAGTTTAGTAGTAGAAGTGACATATAAGCCATTAATTTGATCTGCAGATTATTTTCACTATTAGACATTGTATAGAAAAAGTTATATTCCAGAAGCCAATTTAAACATTCACACTGGAAGACTTTTGTTGACTTTATCACACTAATCACATAGGAAAATTTCTTGTGCTTGATAAAATTTTATTTTATTGATTGATAATTTGGAATATCATTTCCCAGCTGACTTGGGAGATGGTACTTGGAACATGGTGCCAACTGCTCTTACAAGGTAAGAACAGATGCTTTGCGTAGGAAAAGTGAGAGATGGCACAGGACTGAGGTATGGCCTCCTAGTGACAAATACACAGAGAAAGAAGTTTGGATTCACTTTTATGAAGGAAGGTAAAAAAGAAATACAAAATTTCTTAACTTTAGGAGATTTTTACCTTCAAGTAAGCAAGTGTAAGATAAGCAAGACTCACAATGGCACAAATAGAATTACCTTGTGACACTATTTTCTATACTTAAAGTACTTTTAGTAAGCTACTATTGCTGGTTTTGTTTAACTTGCATATAGGTAAGTGTGTGTGTGTGCATGTGTGTGTGAGTGTGTGTGTTTTCCTTTTTCTTTGCTAGAATGTTATTAGAACAGAAGGTGTATCTTCCTAAGATCAACAGATCTATGTTGAATTTCTTATACATACAGACACTATGCCAATCACTGGAAAAATACAAATACATAAAAATAAAATGGTGTAGACCAGAATCATGTGCTCCACTCCCAGTTTCTAGGTTGGTGTAAATATCACTCAAATAACCTTGTATTTAGAAAGAAGAAAGAAGATTGCTTCCCCATGGGCAACTGGATAGTTTGTCACCAAAAGATGCTAGGGGGTCAGAAAATAACATCTTCCCTACATGTGATACTATTTCTTATTTCTTGGATTCCATCCAAAGGGCTCCAAAATCTAATAATATTTCTTAGATCCTTTTAAAATTGTTTCTCTTCAATTGTTAGACAACTTTAGAAATCTTTTTGCAATACCCAATCCTTATCTCAGCAATGTTGCACACTACCCCGTGTTTTAGTTTGCTTTTCTCATTGCTGAAACAAAATACCTGACACAAGGTAAGGGAGGAAAGGTTTATTTAGCTCACAGTTTGCAGAAGTTTTTTCCATAGTCGGCTGACTCCAAGACAGGATAGCACATGGGAGACGGGCAATAGTTCATGCCAGACCAAAGGTAACAAAGCAACAAGGGAGCAAGAGAGAGGCTCTCAACAGAGTTTCTCTGCCCCTTTTATCTTATGCAGACTACTTAGGGTAGGTAGCACTTACACCCTTAATCCTAGTGCCCTTGAGCCTTAGCATTGCAGCATGAATGAATTCCAGAAAAGCCCCACTTGTGATGTGGCTTTGGGGACCATGTAAACACAAGCCATAACACCTTGTCTACACACAAGAAAAGGCCACACTTAAGGACTAGACCTGACACATGGATGTCATATGTATTCAACAGTACTCTAAAGGGGGAAATATTCCAGGGGAAGAATCAGAGCAGCATCATGATTGATATGCTTGACTGAACTGGATATAATATTTATTAAGAAAGATGACATTTCTTAATAGGTAAAGAAGAGTGAAATCCCTAGGAAAGGAAAAGTGCCATCCTAAGCAGTCCCACATGCCAGAAGACATAAATATTGTGTTCATTTTGATAAAATCTCATTGTCCTTTCAATGTACAAATTTAAACTGTATTGGTTTGAAATCCAGCATGGTTTTATCCACTGTGTCCTCTAACTGTTCTTCATTATAAACCAGACTACTTCTGAAGATTTATACTTTTCCATTCAAAATCTACAGGAAAATAAATAATACTGTTTCCAGATATCTTTTATAAGACACTGTTCAAAAGTTTGATCATATGCAGACCTCCTTGTTATGATCTAGTATAACTTTGATTGCATCACTCCTATCTAAACATGTTTCTCCTGTCTCTCTCAGTTTGTCTGAGGAAATCAAGATCAATTTTCTTGGTTTGTTTCCTGTTTTGTTTCTCTTAAAACACAATGTTCCTGTGGTGCTATGGTCTGCTGAATCTTTCTCTTATCAATCTTCTAGAGAAAAAAAAGTTAAGGATGTTTGTTTTTGCAATAATTAGGAAGGAATTCTACTTTCTGTATTCTCACAGATAGCAGGAAATGTACCCATTGGCCACAAACCTAATCACTAAACTTTGGGTTCCTTAAAAGCTCTATTATTTTAACTACCATTTTCTTAAAAAAAAAAAAAATGGCTAGTTGTGGAAACCTCAGGAAATGCACAGGAAATAACTCCCTGAGAAAATGTTAGCTAGAGAATTGGGTCATGTAACAAAGTGGTAAGGCATGACTGAAACTACACCCAAACACTATTATTTGACTTCTTAGACTGTCTTTGTTTGAGGGATTAAATATTTAGGAAGAAATGACTCTGTCAAAATATGGATATCATGTTTTAGAAATTGCCCAATTAGGCAAAAAGCCAAGACAGGCATCCAGCTAATTGACTTTTCAAGGAAAGGGGAAGTAGAGAGTTTATTCACTATTCAGGCAATACTCTTAGTACTGAGAGAATTTGCATTTAAAGATTTTACATGATCTGCTTACCGATTTCCTGCAATCCATGTTTTATTTTTATTTTGGATATCCATTTGATATGAAGTCTAAAGATACTTGGAATTGTGGAAATGGACCTTCTGACTTTTTTTTTTTCTTAAACTGTTCAGTTGATGTCTCGTATTGAAAAGATCCAAAGAAGATATGGGATTTTCTCTCATCACTCAACCAATTCAGATGTATGCAGATTCTGTACCAGACAGACCCAGGCTTGGATTCCAGCTGTGCAACCAGAGGAGTGTGTATGAAGTTTAGCATCTATTTTTTTATCTTCACAAAGTCTCAGTTTTTCTATTTGTAACATGGAAAGATAACAGTACCTTACTTTGGTTTAGAGATACACGTTTAATTTTACATTTGAGTATTTCTGAATTTGGAATGATTCATATAAATGATGAGTAAATTTTATCTAGTTTTTAAATTTTTTTCTAAACAACAAATAAAAAATAAAATAACATAGTTTAAAGTAACCAGTTTTCAGAAACAGATGAAATGATCATACCTAACTGATAGCATTTTTGTAGGGAATAAATATGATAAGATTTGAATTGCTGCTGCCACATAGAATACTAAATGGGAGTTAATATGACTGCTAGTGCCATTATAAATTCAACTACTATGACCACAGCTTTCAACTTCTCTGTTTGTTTCTTCACACATAAAATAAAGGAGGATAAAATATACTCTATCATGAGAGTTAAAGTGAAATAACTTATCACACCTCTTGGCATGTTGCTTTGCACATAAGTGCTTATGAAGGGTTAGCTGCTACTGTTATTCAGTTATGACTATAAGCACATTATAATTGCTACCATTAAACCACTCTTAAGTCAGAAAAATCATACTCCCCATAATATCAAAGAATTTGAGCCTAATTATAAAAACATAAGAGCAAAATATTTCAAGAGGATTTGCTTCAATGTTACTCCATTAAGCTTTGCCAGAGATGAAGACCAAAATCATATGGCATGAAATCACCTATACACACGGGAAAAATCACAGCCTCCCTCTTCTGGGATTCCAAGGAAAAAATGTTAATGTTACTAGGCATTGAAAAAATTATTAAAGCACTGTAAACTCAATTGCAAAGCATTTTCTTTAGCTTTTAAATTGGTACAGTCCTAGCTCAATTTTCAGTTATATCTCATCCTTCTTACTAACCCCACTGAATGGACCCTGGCACACATACAAAAATATTTACACACAGAGACTGTCCTGAACTAGGGAAAAGCAAAGGAAACCCCAAGTGAGCCATGTATTTCTCATTATGCCATCAACAGTTCAAAGCAAAGAATAGTTTGCAGGATAAATGTCTGCTACCTGCCTTATTTCATCACTGTTTCCATCTTTTTCCTCATCCTTCTCTACCATCCCTATTTCTTTTTAAAATGCAGAACTCCAATCTATTCTGTCCTCCCTTCTCAGCAATTTTCTGTGAAACAATTGTCTTCTGGCTGCAGGTGACTAAAATTCTTGTACTTACCTTGGTATGAAGGGGATTGGAGACATATCTACCAGTAATTATGGGAGAAGGAAAAAAAGAACTAAGTAAAAATAAGATGAATATAAAGAGATACTCTGTAGAAATTTTATTATAAAATATATTAAACTTTTACAATTCATAGTTTCCCTTAGTGATTTTCTATTATTGGGGCCATATACCAGGAATGCCCAAGACCTTAATTGAATAAAAAAAGATAAAAAGCATATAATAGGAGTAACAAAATAAATAGACCTATTTCTTTTTACAAATCTACAAAAATATATATTAACTGGGGTGGTTTTTTTTTTTAATGGACTCTTTCTCTTGGAAATAACAGAAATCCAGGTCAAACTAAATGAGGTAAAAGGGAGGTATATGTACACATGTAACCAAACCAGAAGAGACTGAGTGCTGGTGGGAAGCAATTAACTGGACATGAAATCTACAAATCTTTCTGATTTTCCTGTTCTACAAAGTACAGTAACCAAGTAACCATGAAACCTAGCATGCCATGTCATGGCTTTACCACTAAAGTCAGACTGAAAGATGGCTTCCATTGTTTGTGTTTTTAAAAAATCTTAAGAAAGTTCTAATTGGGCTTAACCTTATTTTGTTTTCTTTTTTTTTTTTTTTTGGTACCAGGGTTCGAACTTGGGTCCTTGCGCTTGCGAGGCAGACGGCGGAACCACTGAGCTAAATCCCGGCCCTTCATTTTGAAGTTTATCAAACAACTATTTTGAGAATTAATTGCACTGCAAATGAATTTTTTAAATTTCTTATAAATTGTAATGGTTAAATCAAGAATTTTCCTCTCTATGCAAGTCCATGCTTATATAAAATATTCACACTAAGGGAAATGAAGTATTCCAGAAATTTAACTCTGTTTGAAAAAAATAATTCTATATCACCTAGCCCTGAACTAGGGAATGCCTGTCATATAGTTGTAATTTTCACACTTAAAAAAAAAAAATCAGTATATATAAAAAGAATCACACCAAAATTTGGCCATATAGTAATAGAGAATTTGTTTTATATAATTCTTTTTAACTTTCTTGAAATCAAGTCACAGTGATTAACTTCACGCAGTGTGGTTTGTATGGTTTTGGAAAAAGTCAAGAGCAAGCTATACTCAAAATGTTCATGAAAATCCAATCAGAAACCCATTGACTAAAACCAACACACCCATTGACTAAAACCAGCACAAGAGGCTGTTTTCATGTTAACAGAGCACAGCTGTGACAATGTTCATTCTAGTTAGTTACATGATGGCAAATTAAAAGGTTCAAGCATAAAGGCTACTTTCTTTTCATTTGACATTTGTATACTAGCCTCTATTAACTAATTTTAAATATGAGATCAGTATCAAATTAAACATGAGGGGCTTATTTAAATACTAAGTGAGAAGACAGGATTAATATACAGGAAGAACTGACAGGAATTTTTTTAACTATTGTGGAAGTGAGGCAGACAAGGAGGCCAGGGAGCTCCCGGAGGCAGCAAGCACAGCATAGTTCTAGATTTTGATTAATCATGATAACTACATACTCTTGAGAAATGAATTAAATTTCTCACCCTCATAGTAGGCAAACTATAAAACTATGTTCAATGACAGCAGCTGTTAAGCAATTTCCTTTTGCTTTTTTAAAAAATAAATTTTGTGCCATCAAGTGCTCTCCATGTTTGCCCTGGAGACACATTATAGACAACTTACCTAAAGAAACCTCTTGGTTGACTACTGAAGGATTATAAAAGGAAAATAGGAAGAAACCTAAAATAATGTAGGTAACTACTTCTCCAGTCTCCTACAAGGGAGGAAACAGATTGGCAAAGTGTGTTTATTTAAATTACTAAATTACCTTTATAGCAACTTGAGGGTTGGGAAGTAGTTATTTACAAAGTTGTAATAGAACGTCTTTAGCAGGAAATCTTAAATAACAGCAAAACCACTTCAGGCCCTTGGCTGGAATTTTGAACTGTGAACATTAGCAAGAAAATAATATACCATTATTAAATTGATATAGTTTTGCAATAAATAAACAGAAATAAAGGAAGAAAGCAGTGTGCGCACCATTGCTTTGGTACTAAATTTCCTTGGCAAGGAAGAAAATGAATAGGAAAACATAATAATTTGCTTTAAAAGCAGAACAATAAAGATAGTTTGAAACTATTTTTTAAAACTGATCATTAACACTAAAGATCTATCCAACCCAGGAAGGGGTGGACTAAAAGAGACACAAAGCACTTTTTTCTTCCTTGAGCTTTTTTAGTCTCTGAGTGTTATGGAATTAAAGCAGCAAGCTGAAATGATTTATGAAATGAAAAATTCCTGCCCACCCAGTTCACAATCATGTGCAATAACTACTGTGTTTTGCTATTTGCCATAATATTTAGCTCAGATGTAGCCAGAAAAATCCATCTACACACAGAAGATCCAATATAAAAAGAAACAGATTTCTCCACATTTCTCTCATGTGTTTGTACATGGACACACAGGAAAATAATATATGCATATTTTTGCACACATTGGTGATTTGCCTTTTATCTGATACTTTTGCTTTTCTTTTTGTTATCCCAAAGCATTTAATTTACTTTTACTTTTGAAGCAATCCCCACAGAAACTTTTCACTTTCTTTCCTAATTATTTTTCTACCCCATAACAATCAGAAGCAGTCTGTTATCTGATCAATTAGGCAAATAACTATTCATCTTAACTTAATGATTGTGATAGAAAATTCATTTTGTTAAATACTGGCTTTTTATATTATTAATAAACTTTATTGAGTGTTTGGCTGCTCAGGAGTGTATAATTTGGTTTGAAGCTATAAATAGTACAATTGTTCTGTTTTGCAACACAATAAAAACTTGGAGGAGAAACCACAATTAATTGACATATTCAAGACAATTGATAAATACTTTCCACACATGTGCTTAACCTAGAACAATATTAGGGGTAGTAGAAAAATGAATTTAGAAAAAAGAAGTCATATTCAAGATGTGGTGGAAATACATGGTGGATATTTAAGTTTTAGAAAATTTATTACAGTCAATGACCTCAAAATATTCCCCCTTGTTTTGAACACACTTATCGCATCATTCTTGCCATTTTCAGAAGCAATTTTGAAAGTCCTCTTTCATGAGTGTCTTTTATAAGATGTCCTCAAAAATATAATGAATGCCACTGAGTGCTATCTAATGAAAGACCGGGTCACAGAAACAGTACGGTATGACCTCATGAACCTTACTCATTGCATCTGGCACCATGGAACTTCTAGTTCTTTGGCAAAGTCAAAATGCCCATGAAAGTTAAATGTTTTGAAGGAATCATGACATCAAGGCAGCCACCACAGCACAAGTACTATAGAGACAATCACTATGGAGAACTACCAGTACTGCTTCAGAAAGTGGCAAAAATGATGGGATGAGTGTGTTTGAAGCAATGAGGAGTATGTTGTGGGGCATTAATGATAATGTGTGTTTTATTATAATAGTTTTAAAAATTAAATATTCATTGTATTTTTCAGCCATACATTTTACTTCCATCTGAAGATCCTATGTTTATATTGGAAATTTCTACACACAATAAAATAAAGACTATCATAAAACCATTTACAATCAATTTTAATAGTTTAGGGAAATGAAATATCAAAAACTAGAAAAATTGCAGAAAGTCAGTGGAAGTGTTAAGACTTACTATAGATTTAAAAGATAATATTTTGGGGTAATAAGACCTTGTATAACATATATGGCTCTTGTGACACTGGGCTGTCCAGAA